GGGATTGGAAAGCTGCGGTCAGCATGATTCTAGATCCAAGAGAAGGAGATATCCTTACACATTTATTGTTTATATGAAATTTTGTTTTGTTTTGTTTTTTTGTTTATTTTTGTTTATTTTTATTTTTGTTTTTGTTTTAGTTTTTTGTTTTTGTTTTTGTTTTTTTTGTTTTGTTTTTATCTTCCTATCACATGCTTGTATAGTTCATACTTCCATACAATAGCAACTATTAGACGAGCTTCCATTGAATTGTCATATAAGTTCTCTATAACTTGGATTTTGAATACAAAAAGATGCCACAAGGAAGATGAGGGAATATTACAAGGAGAGTGGAGATATAGAGGGGACCCTAAGACAGTTATCTCGACATCTGGTTGCAGAACGTGCTATTGTAAGTTTTTATTTGTGTAGTGCTAGATAAATTTCTCTTATTTTCTCTTTTGAACCTGATGATTTTTTCAGTTATTGTAGTTTCTACTAAATAAGCTGCATTACTTCTACTTCTGAAGTTTAAATTGTGCGCTTACAATCACAACTTGCATTTTTCTTTTTTTGTATTCCAGCTCCAGTGTCTAAAAAAGAATCCTGGAAATTACTTACAAGCTTTGATGGGTATTCCGAGGACGCTAAGAATGATGTAAGTGATTGTTCCAGTGGAAATATAAGTTTATTCGTGATGTATAAATTTAATATTTAAGCAATGTTTTTCTTCTTATCTGCTATGTTCAAATTAAGATTTACTTGATTGCAGTCGCATGTGTTAGTGGGATGCATGCTAACTATGGTTCAGCAGGCTAACTGTTTGCATTCAGCATCTTGGTTTTCATTTTCATCATTTTTTTGGAAATTATTTTAGGTTTCGTGCATGAGCTCCACCTTCATTGATTCTGGGCATGAGTGCTTGCTTTTGTATCATGAGCTTGCTCTATCTACTTATTTGAAGTTTTAATGGGAGAATGAGATGATTTATCCAACAATGAAATTAAGAGGACCCTTAGGTTTCTACACTGGAATAATTCGAGGGTGGTGGTAGTCGTAAATGAATGTCTTATAGATCCATTTTCTTTACCTATTTTTCAGTTTACATGCTTTTCAATGGTGCTCAGCAAATGAAAACAGAAAAATGTGAAAATTAAGAGTCCAGATAAATGTTGTATTCTGTCACTGACCCTATGGTAAAGGTTATCACACTTCTGTTGGGGGTTTAACACACTTCAGTTATACAAAGGCTAGGGCATGTTTATATCTTCACTTGTTCTCTCCTTTAACCTCCCCCATTTTATTTTTTCTTTCTAGTTTTTATGGTTGTTCCATGTTTAAAACAATGGAAGAAATCTTAAAATGTTCTGAGCTATGGAAAAAACCAACTTAAAAAGCTGATGCCAGTATAAAAAGTCCAAAAGAAAGATTATGGAGCACACTTTTGTTCCTGAGGCTTATGCCATAGGCGTGTAAGTTATTATGTCTAGGCTTAAGCCTTGACAAATAGCACCCATGGCATTAGCTTCTAGGCTCTTAATTAAGGCCATACATGAGGTGCGCTTCAAAGTGTAAGCTTCAGGTGCTTGGAAAAATTAGCAAGGAGCTTGCAAGTAAGGGGAGGGACCGGAGGTTACAGATGGAATCTTTTGTTAGTTTATTATCTTTTAAGTTGAAATCTAAAATTTGAAATTTATGAAGATAATGTTCAACTTTTCAGGTACATACACGGTTATCAGAGCTACTTGTGGAACCATGCCGCAAGCACGAGAGTACAAAAATATGGTATGTAGTTTTCCTTGGTTTCTGTTTGGAGGCTTTTAAGGTCATTCTTTTTTTTTCTGAAATTGTCGCCAAAGTAACTTGTTTTAATAAGGAGCTTTGGCCACACTGATGATGCAGGTTTTAACCAGGTTATCTTGGGTGATTTGGTATACTGCAAAGAACAAGATACTAAGAATGAAACAGGATCCTCTAAATTGGAATTTGAAGATGGTGGTAGCGATGAGGTTGACATTAATGGTCATTTTGATGATATATCTGTAACTGAGCTTCCTGCAGAGCGAAATATGTCAGTGAAGGTAATGTTCTCATGTTTCATATGGGGTTCTATATCACTTTTATTGTTCAGACAACCAAGAATACTAATTAGTATAATGTTTAATGCGATGAGAACTGTTAAAAATTGATTTTGAGTTGAAAGGAATATGAAAAGTTTTACTCCAACTTTGTTCCTGCCTATATAGCACATGGGACAAATAATTTTGAACTAATCTTGAAGTAAAGATAATGAAAGAAATTAGTCTTATTCAAGATCACATCCCTGATCAATGTACAAAACCTTTATCTAGAGATTAGCTAGAAGTTTACCTATCACCATTTGAAATGTGAACAGATAGGTAAGAAAAGTGGGATGGAAATATAATTGTGTGCTAGTTGCACCAGTTTTTTGGCCTAGAGGTTTTGGGTATTTTGTTTCTGTATTATATGATTTTCTGTTGCTGTTTTTGCCGACAATGTGCAATACATCTATGTTTATGTTTGCAGACCAATTTCAAAAAGTAAAAAATAAAAAAAATAAAAAATCTATTTCCATTTGAACTGGATTATTAACTTCAGACTTAAACTGAGATTTCTATGCTTCCGTTGTAGTAGAATCTTGATCTTACCTGGAATTAACATCATAATAGGGGTCTCTGAACTTTATGATGTGATTCTGGAAAAACAAACTGAGTTCATACATCTGAAGTTTACTCGGACAGATGCTCTGGAACAAGCTAAAGACATTTGAAGAGCTCTCAAGATAGGCATCTTAAATAGTTTCCACTTAGGATATCTCCTGTGAACAAAGCTTGCTAGATGCCTAACCACAATTTCAGACATCAGTTCTTGACCTCTAAATTTCTAATTACTTGTATACAAGAAAGATATACCAAAATGCATTTGGGTAGTAACATTTGATAAAACTTCTAGATTGATATCTTTCATCATCTTAGACTCATTTTCTTTATTATTTGGTACCCATTAGGTCTATTGCTACTTGGCTGCAGAAAGTAACGCTAATCTTGTTTGGCAACACAAGAAACTGTTTCCTACGTCCTTTGCTTAAGAATAATCATCCAACTTTTGTTTGACGTTTCTAAGTATCTTGTATATCCAAGTATGCAGCTTTGCGCTATGCATATGGGGACTGTGTAATTCAGTCGTCCTATCATACAACTTTCCAAGTGAATGTTCATTTTACATGTCAAATCTACCAATGGACAATGGTATGATGGGACCAGACTTTCCTTCTTACCTTGGCGAATTTAGTTATGGTGATAGATCCCTTGTACGCTTGGATGCCTACATTTATGAAAGCACTGTGATACTATGGATATAGACGAATCTTTGGTTAGAGAAAATCATTATACCATTATACACTATAGTAGGGATTCAAGACAACCATGCTGCCTCAGGTCCAAGGATCATATGCACAACTTTTGGAATAAGTCATTGACAAAATTTGAAATATCGTTGTGCCTAGCTTGAGCCCAGTCCAATGAACTCGTTCTCTGACAAGCACCATGATCACTGGATAGCCCTGTTGGTTCTATGACACTTATCATCCTATCTAAAAAAGAAGTATAATGTACTAGCAATTAGTAGATAATTGGAGCCCAGTTGACTGTTCTAAGACCATGAACCTTTTCATTCCTTTTCATTATCCAGTGCCAAGGAATGCATGTTTCATTTCTTAACATGTATCTCCTGAAACATAGGTCAATCAACTTATTGATATAAAATAGCAATGAAATATGAATGAGAGCATCTTGCCCAATGATGAGTTTTAATGATGGTAGAAAATGTCTTAGAAATGCCGCATGATTGGCTTTCGGACATATATGATACAACAATCAAGAATAACCAACTGAAAATAGTGCAGCATGAGTCAAAAGCCAATTTATACAACTAGTAAACTGGATATTCATTAAGCTAGCCAAAATGACTTTTTGAAATAGTACATTCTATAATTAAAACAATCCTTTAAGAACCAAGGATTGAGAATGTGAGATATTCCAGGAGCAAAATTATATATATTTTTGATCTTGACGTGTTATTCTCTTCTCTATTATATACTGATTTGCACGTCATTTAACTGTTTGTGAAATTAAATATCTAATATGGTACCTACCTTTGGACAGGCATTAAATGAGGATGATTTAGTTGCTGGAAACTATACAGTTGATGATATTGTACTTCCTTTGCCCGGGTAAAAATAATCTGAACTTGTACCTAGGTTGAGCTGCTAATCCAATTTCTGTTCTTTCTTTCTATTTTTTCAGTCATTCACACATTCATTTTCTTTTCTTTTTTGTTTGTTGGAGGAAGGGGGAGGGTAGGTGTTAAATATAGTTTTCTGTGGTTTCTTTGACACTGCTGTCATTGCAGGTCAAGGGTTATTTACCCACTGAATGATATTGGGAAAGTTTATTTGGACTTGGCAAAGAAGGTGAGGTTCTCTATAAACTACTCATTTGCTTCTACATTTGATCTCCGTGTGTGTGTGTGTATTTGGTGTGTTTAAGGTGACTGATATTATAACTAAGGGTATGTTTGTCAAGGTGTGAAAGGGTGTTTATGAATAGGTAAATGAGTGGTGGAGAAATGAGTAGCACTTGTCGGTCTTAAGAAATATGTGGATAAAACGTGGTTTGACCAAGGTGTTTATAAACACCTAGAAACACTTATCCCGACACATGATAAGATAAACCTGTAGCTGTTTGCTCTGCTTGAATTTCACTTTGACATTTATTAGTCATGTAAGAAGTCCAATATCAATTTGCTCTGTTCCAGATTTAATTAAATGGGATAGGCATGCTACTTCCACTGAAGTTTTCTATCTCTTCATATGCTTTTGTGCTTAGTGATTTTAATTAGTGCATATCATTCTTTCTGAATTTAATACATCAAGGTTGAAACCAGAACCTTTACAGTTTACACCACATTGAGGCATTAAGACAGGATAAAAGAAGGAAAATCTTACTATGGGAGTGTTTGGTAGGCATTTTTATGTAAAATGCATTTTAGAATAGTAAATTGATGTGAAATGTGTGGTTGAGAAATAAGGAAAAGTTTTTGATTTACGTGTAATATTATTTTAATAAAGAATGTGTGGTTGAAAAGAAGAGAGAGACAAATGCATTTTGAAAAAAATAGCTACCAAACGGGGGCTTATATTGTTCTGCAACTGTTGAAATGTTAGGTCATCATCTATTCTTTCTTCATTGACCAGAAATATTATTTTATAATAGCATGTTTGGGAGTTGTTTATAGATGGTCTAAATTAGGAAAAAGATAGAAATTTGTGGCAGATAAGTAGGTACAACTTGTGGGTCCCACGAAATATGTGGATAAAAGTTGGTTTGACAGACTATAAACAGATTATAAACAATAGCTAAATGTTCTTCATCACTGTGCTGTTTGAGATAAATTTAATTGGAATGATCAGCTGTCAAAGTAGATGAAGCCTCCATTTATGAATGAGTTGTTCCATTCTACAAGATATTTTCATATTGATACCTGAAGTATTTATTTATTCTGAGTCAAAAGAAATAAGTTACCGTCTTTACCACGAACAATTATATGTACCTTTCTTTTTTGAATAGGTTAAAAAGCCCGTGTTTTAGAATTCTAGCTCATGACTGACCTACAATTAGCGACTGTCTGTAGCTTATTCGTGCTTTGAACAAGAATCATTCATGTTTTAGCCATACGATTGCATTGTATGTTAACAACATGGGTACTTTTATTGACACAGCATCGTGGAGGTTCCAGTTAATTTTGTCAAATAAATGAATGTTTTACAATAGTGAACTGGATTCACAGTTGTAACCCTGATTTTCCAACAAAATAATTACTTAACCACCTTCACATAATGGATAACATTGTTTGGAAAATGATTTTTGGAGAAAAGAGATACTTTTACTTTACTGATTTTTTTAGTAGAATATGATTTTGACTGTATGAGATGTTGAGTTTGAGTTATGAGTAAGTGCGGTGTCCAGCCTATGAGCAAGTGCGGTGTCCAGCCTATCTATTCGACTTACATTAGTGTCTGTTTTTCCTCAATGAAGATCATAGAGATTACCTTTTACTCCACTAGCCATTCGTAGCACTTCCACTACAAACCAGTTAATATACCTTCTCTCATGAATAGATAATTGAATTACTAACAATAAAATTAGAATTTGATTAATTCAACTTAAAAGATTTCAATGTGGCTTCCGGTTTTTCAATAAGCCATACAAGCAAGGTTAAACTAGGACATTTGTATGCTCATACGCTGTATCTGTGCAATTTCTTCTTGTTGCTTTTAGATAACTTCCTTGTAATGCACCACTAACATATATGTACCGAACTGGGAGCAATGCCTGCAGTATACCATCTTCAAATAATAGTAACTCAGCTGTAAATGCAGTAATTTAAAAAACACTATCCATAACAAGGATGTATGAAAATCTAAGAGTATTATCCGTTGTGCCCACTACCTCGACTTCCACATCCACTGCCGCCATTATCTAAAAAAATTTACCACTATAGAACACCATGAAAATACTGATCTAGACCTTTTTTAAGTGAAAAAAAAATGCTATCATTTTCCTTGATTCATTCTTATTTTTCAAGATGGAAATCCGAACGATGAAGATAGAGAAGGGCCTCCTACCACGATTCATCTTTCCAATTTAAGCTTTATAGAAAAATTCCGAGCCTTTCTAGGTTTTTGAAATATATCTTGCTATTTCCAACTATTCTATAACGAATCCAAAGCCAATTTTAGTGTCTGCAATTGCTGTGGTAGATGAGTTATTTAGCTTTTGTCGTAAACAACAATTTCTCGTAAATTATGTCCAATTGAGATGATATCGACTCTATTTAGGATTGTGGTGCTGTTTTTGGTTGTCAAGTTCCAAGCAATTTGGGTAAATCTATTCAATGCTAAAGTTTTGTGTAGACTATTGTTTTGAATAAAGAGGGTATTCAGGTACTTCTTTTTGAGAATATTAATGGTGTTGGAAGGAGGGAATGATGAGCTAGGAAAAATCATGTAGAAGTCTTTCAGCTGATTTAGCAACAGAAGGTGTTTATAGTACTTTTTGTTATTATAGGTGTTTTTATGCCCTTAACCTTTCCGTTTCTGCAAATTTACCAATGTTTGCTTGGTAGGATGATATCAGCTTGACGGAGAGTGCTCACAATACAAAGTAAGTCTCATTACATTGTACTTCTCATTCAGTAAATAAATATTCATACGAAATGATTCTCATTGAAATTGACTTATGGCCTGTGTATAGCACGATTAGGTCCAAGGTGTATTTTACTTTCTTCATTTAATCCTTCGACCTCTTCTGAAAGAGGGAAGATTAAAGCTTGTGTAAGGAAGGATTGATTATTCCCACCCTGCCTCCCATCTCATTTCTGACCAAACAAGGGAGGGAGATCCATTCCTCCCCCCTTCCCCCTGTAGTGTTTGTTAAAATCCTTGATTCCATGACCTCGTTTAGCTAATGTCACTATCATGTAGAATCTTTTTGGTACAGTATAGATAATTTGCAATGGCTTCCGTATTAGATTCACTTATGTCATCACTCAATTCTTACTTTCAAATTATTTTTAACTTCATTTTTATTGGCAAGTATGCTTAATGTTTTAACCACTGCAACTACTACTTTTAGGGAGTTCTCAATAACCAATATGGCAGGATCCTACAGGCGGTTATTTCAAAAGCCTAAAGATTTTGAATGGTATGTCATTTTCATTCTCATTTGGATCTGTTGGTTGCTGCCAGTGTTGAAACTTTGTTTTTCTTTCTTTCTTGGTCAGGGAATTACTCAAATATACTGATAGAGATATGCCATTGGCAAAAACAGATTGGGAAATAATTGCTAATTCCAGGTCCGCAACTCTAGGCTGCAATAAAAAGTTGGCTGGAATGATTCAATTTGATTCGTTGCCCAAATTGGATAAATATGAAGATGCTACTGAGGCTTCAATAGAAAAAGAGGGTACAGAAAATGAGACAGGAGGGCTGAAACTGGAGGAAACTATAAATGGCCCCTCATCACTGGAAAACCAAACGGCTCTCAAGTTGAGCTTTACCCTGCCAGCTTCTAGCTATGCAACTATGGCCATAAGGGAGCTGCTAAAAACATCAACCTCTGTATGTATTACAGTCAACCCGTTCTTTATAGCTTTAAAAGGATCAATTTGATGCAATATGCTATTAAATCATCATGTTCATCAATGTTATTTATTTAGGTGACATGCATACACTGTACAAGTAATACCTCCTATGTTTAACAGGTTGCATTTCACAAGGCATTAAACCTGTGAGCATGTTTTCAGACATTAAAATAATTCGAGGCTTTTCTGGGAGGAAGTTTTACACAAGAATGATGTTATTCACTAGATTCAATGATCAACTCCAGGCTTAGGATTAATGTTGGAAAGGAATAGAGCTCAAAGGTAAGTAGTTCGGATATAATTTTGTAGTATGGAAACCATGTGCGGCTATGGATGGCAAATGGGATCCCCTTTCCTCTGCCCCATGTCCCCCTTTTAATTATGTCTC